AAAAAAAACTAGTGCATAATGATAACAGATTTCCTAATGCACCAGTGATAATAACAGTCTAATTATACAAGATGCAGTAGGTATTTTAATACAAGCAGCTGCTCTGTTGTGAGAATGGAGCAAGGGGGTCCTAGCACTGGATGCGGGATGCTGGAGGAGGCAGTTTAACGAGCACTTTCTCACCTGTGTGATTGGAGACAGAGAGGGCGACATTGTCGGCGAGAGCTGTTTGCTCAGGCTTCTCCTCTGATCTCCCCCTGGAGAGAGCGTCAGGGGACTAATGGGGGCCGGCCGCCTTCTGGGTGAACTCGCCATGCCCGTTGGAGGAGGGTTGGACATCGAGGAGAGGCGCAGGGACGAGTGGAGTGAGGGGTTACTGAGAGACGAGTGCAGCTGAGAGTTGGTGAGGGACGCTTGGATGGAAGGGTTGCTCAGTGAGGACGACAGCCCTGAGGAGACAACAAACATGACATAATCAGGTTCAGAGGTCAAAAGTTCTTCCTTAATGAAACCGAGATAAACCAATAATGGCTTTACGAGTCACCGCTCTCCTGTCCTGACATCCACTCCTCAGAAAAGACACTGAGCGATTGTCTGCAGGTTACTGGAGCAGCGAGAGGCGCAGAGAAAAGAGCCGTTTATGAGCAGCCAATTCAGGGGTTAAAGGTCGACTGTGTCTCTGAATGGATCAGCCAATGGATGAGCGGCACAGCCCAAACGGGCAGCGAAAACATCCCAGCACACCCCGTTCCCAGACATGGGAGCGAATGGAAAGAATAAAGCTCAAGAGAATGCGAGTCAAAGAGAGCGATCAGATGGCGGATGGATTTTTAAAACAAGGGGGGAAGAGAGAAAGAGAGCGAGAGAGAGAGAGCTGCGGTCTTCTGCATGGATGTGGTCCTTTAGAAAACACATGGCATTCATTCGCCAGAAAGCGCCTACAGTGTAAGCCTACAGTGTGCCGTTAAACAAAGAGCGAAGTGTTCAGCCAGGCCCGTCTGAAGCCAGGAGATGCTTTAACAGCAAACCAGTCTCCTTGAATAACCATTTGGTCACAAACAAAAAGCTCTTTTGATCTTCAGACTGTGCGTGAATTCGATTACGCATGTGTGAAAAGCAGCGCGAGTATTTATGTGCCCGTTTAATGCCGTGCACCCGCTGACCTTGTGAGTTTCCGATGCCCAGATGCATCATGGCCGCGGGCAGGTTGCCGGTGCTGCTGCCTCCGCTCAGATTGGGATACCCAGCCTCGTCGGGGTCCAGCGGAGTGGGCAGAGGAGAGGGGAAGTGCAGGTTACTGAGGTCAGGAAGAGACCCGCCAGTGTTTAACGTGCCCTGGTAGTGGGACAGACCCGCGTTCTGCTCTGGAGAGGGGAATATACTGAAGAAAAAAAGGAGATGGATTAGTTCTGAATGTAAATGGCTAGTATGCAACCAACAATGTTTCCTCTCACTTACTTGATTCCAGGCACTTCACAGGACTTTGGCCGGGAGGACAGAGACTGCACCTGCAACCAGGCAACATGTGTATTACATAAATGACCACAATCACTGATGATACATTCAGCAACCAAGAATCAGCTGCGCCTTCTGGAAATTAAAATGGCATCATATTCAAATTAATATTAGCTTATCTGTAAACAGCACAAATATGCTAGAGTCACTCTGAAAACTTAGAATTGTTGTTTGCTTATGAAGTGTTGAGGGGTTTTTATAAATTATGTATTCAAGAATGACATTTGTTTGTCAAAAATAACAAACAAAAAACTAATAATTAACAACAACAACAACAACATGCTGTTCGCTTGTTTTCGGGTCCAAGCTGCTACTTATTCGAATTGAGAAAATATTTGTTTATGATAGGGCTGAATAATTATTTTCCATATTAAATGTCACCATATTTATTTCGATACAAGTTGTTAAAGCTTCCAGATTTATATATATATATATAGAGTGATCTGGATTTTAGAAAGTATTACATCGCTTTGCAAATGCTTATTATTTGTTACTATTTGTTGAGTCTCCCCATACAATTTCTTAAAACACAGAAGCCGCTTCGCGTGACTTCACAATTAAAAAGTGGATTTAAAAAAAAATAACACTGCCTTCCCTTTAAAATGACATCTCTGCTCTAATGATGTGTAGACCAATGAAAGAGCTAAAAAAATTCCCTTCAGTAGCCTGTTCAAATATTGGCAAATGAGGAAAATCCAACAATTTCCCATTGTTGTTGGAAAACTGCATAATCAAAACGCAGTTTCAGAGCCCTTTTTTGTTTTGAGAAGTTACTTAAGAAGTTGTTTTACTTCAATATGAGTCATAATCGATTTTTAGATAGATTAGATTATTTTTTGACTTTTTGCTTCTTTTTGATCTTTAAATACCTGACCAAACCAATGTTAAAAATGGTTAGAGATTAATTGTGTTTAATGTACTTGTTAATATGGCAACTTTATAACACAGCACAACACTGAACACACTTAACATGAAATAGAGGTCAATTAAAGCAAGATAAACCTTTTTTTGATAAATAGGAGAAAGAGTGAAAGCTAATTTTCAATACAGTACCTGAGCAAAGTATACAATAATGTTATACCATAACCCATTTTTTCTAAAATAAATAATAATAACAAAAAAATCTAGTTAGCCAGTTCTGTGAAATATGTGAAAAAAAAATGGTCTCAGTATGTACTTATAATAATGCGATACTGATCAAACATTTATGATTGAATTGTGAGTACCGTTTGCTTGGAATTAGATCGCCTATTAATATGCTATTGTGATTGGCTGAGAAATAGATTTATCTTTGTTGCATCTCGTAATGGTCTCCCATCTTGAAAGGACAGATTAACCCTTTGACACTGGGATTTTATTACATTCATCTAGTTAGGACACACAATATTTAGATTTTTATTTAGAAAACAAACCCAATTCTATTTTTGTACCCCTTCCCCTTGGCCCTTCAAACAGAGTGTGAAGGAGAAGAGCTTCAAAATTTACCCCTAAGAAATGGGACCTCACTACAGCACCTGCACATCATATTTCATTGTGAGCTCTTGCTTTATATGAGGTCAAACGATCGCGACTCCTGCAGTTGTGCTATTTTTTTTGTTTTTATCGTCAGGAAATCACTGAAGGCATATATTATGTTATCATAACGATTTAATGTGGCAATAAGATCGTAACTGTACTGTGCATTTACACCGTGGCCATATTCATCGATGTAAACACACGAATACAGCATTAACATTATACCAGACACAATAAAAAGGTCATTCCCAGCCACTAGACTTTTCTGAAAGGGTATTCCAGTGTCAGAATGTTGTGGGACTGCTGTATGGGAGTTATTATTATGGATTATAGAAAGCGAAAGTTAGCGTTTTTTATTTTAGCGTTTTTTTTTTTAAAAGCATGATGGTAAAACATGAACGTGGTTATGAATATATATTAAAACATACGTTTGTTTAATGTAAAAACTCATAATAATGACAAAAATGACTCATTTTTGCATCTTCTGACTTCCAGGTGCAGCTATGCTGCCTGAACTCGCTGCTCTTTACTACAGATACTGAATCAATACTACTTTTTTTTGCAATTAATCAAAGTACCCATGCACCAACCTTTTTGGCTTCCCATAGTTGTTTGGGCATTGGCTTATTCACACCAAGCAGATTTTCCTCATTAGGGACAGCAGGAAATGAGAACACTGCAAAGGAAAAAAAAACTGTAAATAAATACATAAAAGAAATGCCCATAGTCATCCATTGCTTTGCGTCTATTCACACTAAGTCACTAAGAGATAACTTTCTTCAACAGACATCATAAAGAACTCTTCTTTAACCATTTAAAATGTCCCTCATTGTGTTTCGGAGGTCTCCCAAAAAAGCTTTACATGCATTCAAAGTAAAGTAAAATTTTGCGATGAGACTATTGCAGATACACACATTGTGATATCAATGCTCAAACGATATATTGCTCAGCTCTAATCTAAAGTTACCTTATCTTTTCAAAGAGTCTCAAACAATTTGTCTGATTAAATTAAAGAGTCATTCTTTAAAAAGTCAACCTATTCTGATTGGTCACACTGCACAGTCTGTTGTGACTGGTGCATCTTGGTGCATTTTTTCCCCCTTCACTTTCATCAATTGGTGAAGTTTGTTCCTCGCCACTGTCCCCACTGGCTTGCTTGGTTTGGGCCTTGTGGAGCTGCGCATTGATGGATTTGCTCTAGTGTTTGGGCTTTCAGCAGTGAAAATTAAACCATGATGAACTGAACTAAACTTCAACTCTGAAATCTGTATGTGGCGAGGGGGCGTGGCCGAGAGCCTTGGGAACGGAGTAAGGCCACCGGGTAAGTGAATACACCTGCGGTGTGCACCTGCCGCGGATCCCACGGAAGGAGCTCTGGACAATAAAAGGAGGAACAATGGCAGAGGTAGCCGAGAGAGGACCGGGCATTTTACTTTTGCTTTCAGTTTGACGGCAGTCTCCGTGAGGAGCTGCCGTCCGTTTGTTTTGGTTTAGACGGCAGCCTCCGTGAGGAGCTGCCGTCACTGTTATTAATAAATTATTTAAAAACTCCGTCGGTTCTCCGCCTCCTTCTTCCCGGCGGCCAAAGGGCCGTGAACTTTATTACACTGTATTTTACTAGAACTTCTATGTTAAGCTGCTTTGACACAATTGTAAAAGCGCTACAGAAATAAACATGAACTGATTTCAATCCTGCTTACAGTGCCCAGCACCATATCTGAGATGACATTATTTCTCTTTCTTTTCAGACTTGAGTTGATTTTATGAAATCAGTTCAAGTATGAATTCAATTGATTAAACATTGGAAAACCTAGTTGATCAAAAGCATGACATTAGCAGTAGTTTTTTTTTACAGGTAGTTTGAAGTTCATTATGAGATCTCATGGCTGTTTAATAGGTGTATATATGCACAAATGTTTCACAGCTTCAAGCACATTGTCTGTATGACTGAAGAAGTGTTTTATGGATTTATGTAAACAAAGAGTTTGTATGCATGTATGATCATTTCATAGACGCAGGAGATATAAGTTCACATATATGAGCAATCATTTTATAGATGAAGGTGTCCATAGGGGTTCATATGCACATCTAATTATTTCATAGATGCAGGAGTTTGTATGAAAGTTCAGATGCACACGCAGTCATTTCTTAGACGCAGGAATTAAAATCGAAGTGTTTTCAAAATGTTACCGCTGTTTTATTGTGGTACAGATACAGTTTCACTTTGTTTGCTGTTAGTAACTGTTATGTGCAGGTTGGAGCCCTGTACTCTTTGTCTGAGCAAGCAAGTGTAGGACATGGGGAAAAAAGGAACAGAAGAGTTTCCTGCGGTTTTCAATCTAAAGACAGTTGTGTAGCAGTCTAAACAAACACTTGTTGCACTGAATGTTACCTTGTTATGTAAAACCCACAATATGTAGAGTTGAAGGTGAGTGTGTGGGAACGACCATTGCATAGATGGAATTAGAAGTGTGTTTGTGCGAATTACATGAGTTTTTTTCAGTTTGTACTATGTGAAAGCATTTAATTCATGTTTGTTTGAAAGCTTTAAAATAAATTTGGATATACCAAATCATGACATTATCTCAGGTGTGCCCAAAACTTTTCAGCCCACAAGCCCCAAAATAACAATGCCAGGGACTTGCGACCCCCACTATCATCTGAGGTGGTATAAATATACACGTTAAATATACACAGCAATAGACCCATATTAACAAGGGCATATTGACATAAAAAGTGCAACAGTCTTACCATATATCTATCTACAGTAATTTATTATGTTGTTTCATTTCAAATAATAAGGACTAATACGATGTTTGGAATGTTTGCAATACAACATATACATTATTGGTTTCCTCCATGTTTGGTTATGATATGCATATATTTACAATGTATGTGAGTCATACATGTGAGTTTTATAATAGTGCTGAAAAAATATGTATCTTCTGCAACTAATGCTAATCTAACAAACGTAATCTAAATGTTAATCTAACCAACATAATCAAACCAGTGAAAAATACAAAATGAAGGGATGATGATTATTTATTTGCATTTTGATGTTGTTTTATTTTTTTGTACTATTTTTAAAAATCCTTTGTAGGATATGGGTAAATACAGTACTATTTATAGTTTAATCAAATTTATTTGCTTTGTGTAAGACAACAAACACACACACTGTTGTAATCCCCCAGGGAGTTTCAGCCCCTACTTCAAGAACCGCTGCATTATCTTAAAGGGCCATAAAACCCTCTCATAAGTTATTGTTGTCGAGCGTCGCATACACTGTTAATCCACACGTGACTCCAGCTGAGCTCTCACAGAGAGAAAATGAAAACGAAACTTAACTGCAGCAAACTATAAAAGCAACACTTCACGCTTGTTTTGCCAATACAACGTGGCGTCTCTGTCGTCTAAACACTGTGACAGTAATGAATATTAATGAAGTTGCACAATAGAGCGCACTGATTGGATGCATTAATGCATTACACTGTAAGACGTAATAAGACACACTCTGGCACAGACGTCCAGTCTGCACACTGGAATACAGGCTATTATCTCATGGTCGTGACGCAGCTTCAAAAATTCGTTTCAAACAGGAAGTACGAATTTGCTTGAAATAACGCAAAAACAACCAATTTACACTTTTTAGTGAAATATAGGTGTCCTAATAGTGTTTTTAGCAGTGTGGGACACATATACGACAGCTCAAAAAATGTGTTTTGTTGTTTTCTGACCCTTTAAGGTAAACTACAGGAGTCAACATTTGAAGTGGATCAAAAATATTGTTTTCCAAATTGTCCTAGTTTTAGAATAAATTTTAGCAAGAGAGATGATCAATGTCAACTACTGTACTGTGCTGACTACTGTATAAAGGAGACATGCTAGCCTAGTTAGACTGCCAGCAGTGGAAAGCAACTATTCCAGCATCTACCAAACCACAGTCAAGTGTGAGAGATATGTCACACTGTGAGAGCTGATGCTGTCATTAAAGGGGTGAATCTTTTTTTTTTTGTGGTTTGAACACTTGATAGAGAGTTGGCAAGGATGACAAGAGACACTTACCATCTCCAGAACTGTCCACCTCTGCTTCATTCATGCTGGCTGTAGCACCAAAAACACACAGAGAAAGAGACCAGTTAATATGTACTGTGCATGATCTTACACAAAGAACCTTCCCTCTTCTAGGCTGAGAGTGAAAAATAAACAGCTAGCTCTTCTTCATTTTATACAATACCACACAAAACATTTAAATATTAAAGAAATATCAAATTAAATAAAGTCTGCATTCATCTGATCAAAAATACTGTAAAACAGTAATATTGTAAATACTTTTTATTATAATATAGCTTTGATACATTTAGCAGAGCCCTTAGTTTTTTTGTGATTCTGCGATCGCTGAATTCAACGCAAAATCAACAAAAAGTTGCACATTTTTGCAAACCTGCAAAATTCTTAATTAAACACAAAATAATTGAAAAAAAGCAAACAATCTCATAAAACATCTAATTCAAAACCATATAATCAAATTATATTAATTACAGTTTGCAATTAATACACGCAGTTGCATACGCGGGACATGTGATGTATTTGAGTGTCTCTCATAAAATGACGTCTCTCCTGCGTCTTCACAATCATTACATTACATGGAAAGGGGGGTGGGGGTACAGTAAGCAGACGCGAATTTACAGGCACAAGGGATTTACATTTGAAGTCAATATTGGATTGGCCATCCTGTGGTGCGAATTGGCCGTTTTGTGCGTTTAATATGCTTTAGACTGCAAAAGAAAGTTTGAGCAAACAAATCAGAGCAATGGAACAGACAGAAAAGCAAGCAGCTTAAGCTGGATTTATACTTTCCCCATTGCACACCTCCGCTGAGTGCGCGCGCACCTCCCAGAATGGACAAGGCTTTTATATTCGCCGCGTTCATCATTGTGATATTTTTTAAAACGACAGGGGGTGGTCAAAATAAACTGACCGTAAAGTCAGACGAATAAACAGAGAAGTAGAAAGTTTCAGGAACAACATCATATCATTAATATCGTTCAATATTTTTAAACTAAATATATTTAATGTTTTTATTAATTGTTTTAATAATTATAAAGATTTTATAACCATTCAAGATTTTTTTCAAAATCAAACTTTGACGCATCACTTGCTTTTGTTCATATCTCGAACAGTTTTACCTATTAAAGTTTATTTTAGATTTAGCCCGCTTCACAATTCACACATTACTCTCTGACTAGTTTCTGTCCTATACTTATGCTAAAAAGAAAATAATGATCCAACATTCCTGACCATTATCACCAATAAAGCCTATAAAAACAGGGCATCAGTATATGTAAACTGATAGGTTCAAATATTCCTTTCCAGTTATCAAAGAAATGATTAGTTCCTTAATTATAGTTTTGATATTAAATTGTTTTAAATTCAAAATTGTAATGTATACATCAGTGTAAAACCCATGACTGGTGGAAAAACATATTTCTGTAATTGTGTACCTAGTCGCTCTACTTTTGTCAGGGCCTTTTTGGCTTTAACAAACGTATCCCTCAGGTTTCCCAAACCTTTTAACAAAAACTTTCCTCCTTTCCCACGGCTGTTGCAATTTCTAGCCAGGAATTATTGGTCATCTGGTTATCTCTATGATCAGGGATTATAAAGATGTCTGTACAGTCACCCTGTTTCAGACAAAATCTCTTCAAAGTGATTCATATTCAACCCAAATCAAATGTTGCACCATGTGCACTGTTCGCTCAAGTATAAAAAAAAACAAAGCATTTGCTCCGCCGATTGAAATCATGTGACGCGCACCCAAAGCAAACCTACACAAACTCCGTGATGACGTCACATTCGCCGCATACAATCAAGCGAAGTAGCGGACGCGTCGAGTATAAACCAGGCTTTACAATGATGGAGAGTGATTCAAGGATGACAGCTGCTGGATGCTTACAAAGATGAAGACCAAATTGAAGGACATTATTTGTGTTTTACATGTATGGCTGGTATTATAGTGTGCGTCAAATCAATAAAGGATGTCGTTTAACTCTTTCCCTGCAGGTAACCAGAGAAAACGCTTCCCTGCCATTGACGAGTTTTACAGCAATACATTTTTTTGGTGTATTACAGTAGGGGAAGCCCTAACGCAAGTCCTGAGTGAGGTACATGTCAGATTCTCCGGTGAGTTAAATTGGAGAATAATAAGATTGTGGATATATGTGTGTGTGTGTATATATATATATATATATATATATATATATATATATATATATATAAAGAGTTATACAATCAAAAGTTATCCCTACCGTTTTAGTTCTTGTCTTGACAAGAGATCAAAATAAAGAAGCTTTATTTTTATGATGTGTCATCGTCGTTGTGTCAGACTATATATACTGTATATATAATTTTTTTTATTAATATATATATATATATATATATATATATATATATATATATATATATATATATATTATTATTTTATTTTTTTTTATTTTTTTTAATCGCAAAATTGTCTTCAAATTACTGGAAATTACCACTACAAAATCATTTCTCAAAAGTCATTTTTAATCTCAAAAAATCATAAAAAAAAAAATCTCGGAATCTCGGTCGGATTTTAAATTATTCCTGAGAATGAAAAAGTAAATTTATAGCAGCCATTATCTAGTCTTTAGTCACAAAATCCTTCAAAAATCATTTGAATATGCCAATTTAACAAACGATTCATAAACATAAACCATGATACATTTCATTAAGCATTATTTGATGAACATACAGTTGAAGTCAAAATTATTCGCCCTCCTGTGATTTTTTTTATTTTTTAAATATTTCCCAAATTATGTTTTCAGAGCATGGAATTTTTCACAGCTTTTCTTACAATATTTTGTCCTACCGGTTTAATTTTGGCTAGAATGATAACAGTTTTTCATAAACTATATCATAAGCCAATATTATTAGCCGCTTTGGGTATAACTTCTTTTTTCCAAGTGTCTACAGGAGGGGTTCCCAAACTTTTCACCCCACGACCCCTAAAATAACAATGTCAATGACTAGTGACCCCCAAATTCACAAATATTGCGCACATAACAATAGCCCTATATAAACAAAAGCATATTGACAACACAAAACAGTGCAACAGTCTAATAACCATATCGTTTTTATTGTCCTTTATTAATTTGTTTAATTTAATATTAACCTCACCTTAAGATGAAGACAATGTTTTCAGCACAAGTCATAAGTCACAAGTTTAATTTTGGAGGACGCCACTCAGAGATCATCCTCAATGTTTATTTGATTGCCATAAAGGTGTCAGAAAGATTAACCTGCTGCTATAAAATCAATCTGCTGCAGCTGACGCTATAGCGGTGTTGTTAATCGAACGTAAACACACCAATCCTAGGAAAAAAATTAAAAGGCTGATGGCTTTTCACTTATGGTTTATGGTTAAAATATGGTAATTCTAGTAGTTTAATCAAATTTATTTATTGATCACCAAGCGACCTCCTGTTATTGGCCTGAGACACCCCAGGGGGTCCCAACGCCCACTTAATGAACCACTGGTCTACAGAACAAACAACTGTTGTACCTAATAACCCAAGCTTGCTAACCCAACCTAGTTAGGCTTTCAATTGCAACCTAAGATGAATAATAGTGTCCTGAAAAATCTAGTACAGCTTTATATAAGTATCTTGAAAAAATATCTAGTCAAATATTATTTACTGTCATCATGGCAAAGATGAAATAAATCAGTAAATCAGTGATTAGAAATTAGTTATTAAAACTATTATGTTTAGAAATGTGCTGAAAAAATCTTCTTTACGTTAAAAAGAAAATTTAGGGGGCTAATAATTCTGACTTTAACTGTGTGTTTGGATTCTTTTAGTCCTTTTTGAAACATTTTGTAACATCATAAATGCATTTTCAGTCAATTTAAAAAAAAAAACTAATTAAGCATCTTTCAATGATAAAGAAAATAAAAGTACTGAACCCAAAATATAATTAACTTAAAGCAGAGTTCAGTTCAGGCTGCACATTTGCCCGAGCTAACACAAGTATTTGATTCATTGAAATGAGTCTCCTTGAGCGCACACTCACTCACTCCACCCATTGAAAACTGAGGACGCAAACTACAAAAAAGGGATTGAAAGTGTGTTAATGTGCACTGTCTCTTTAAGGAAACCCCCATGAAGGGACAAAAAAAGAAAAATGCATATCAGGAGAAATCTGTGACCACAAGAGCAAAGTGAATCAATGGAGAGGCATTGTTTTGCGCAGACCACAGAGATCCTGTGGAAAACAACCCTCCTTTCTGCTTCCTCTGCTGATGCTGGTCCAGCACTGATGCAGCGTGGGCCTGAAGCCAGATCAACCAGCTCCACCGCCTGAGCAAAGCAAAGCTGCCGGTCTCAGACGCCCAACTGCGACGCACAATGAATCAAACAAAAAAGTACGGCGACACCTTATTTCCCCCTCACTGAGAGTCTTATTCAATGCTGTAACTGTCAGGAAAAAAAGGACAACTAGAACAGAAGAACTTTGGCTTGAGTCCAGAGTCGCGTTTTAACTTGCAGTATAAAAATGTCTAAAACACATTAATAGTATATGTGAAGTATTTTCTAGAATTACATTTATCTAAAATGACCTATACACATATTATATAACTAACTTTAACTTTAAAGTGATATGTCACCCAAAAATGAAAACGTACTCACTATTTATTCATCTTTAAGCACTCAAAATATTAAGGAGTTCTATTTTTTCTGTCAAACAACAAAAGAAGAAGATATTTTGAAGAATGTTGGATACCTGAAGACAATGAGCTGATAAAAAAAGAAAAGTCAATGGTTTCCGGTCCAACATTCTATTGGAAGAGGCTGAGAACAGACAAAGGAAACTCAAAGTGTGAATTAATGAAGACAATTTTGACTTTTGGGTGAACAAACTTTAAGCACATTATACAAGAAAATGCTTATTTCAGTCTTTCTACTCCAACGTTTTACTCAATCCTTTATAGAGCATCAATGCTATAGAAAATGCCTAGAGTGTTATTTTTGAACCTATTATGACCTATTAAATATACAAAATAAATAAATACATAAATAACT